TAGGATAATAGTTTGAAATAATTATTATTTATCATATTGAGTATATATTCCTCTATTCCTAGTTTACCGTGAGCTTTAATCCAGCTACATTGGCCCTTTCCCACTAAATTTGCATTAGAGATTCCTATCACTTCTTTTCCACCCATGTCGTATACAGTGAATAGCAGGGACCATACAGAACTCCTGACCAAGATTTTTTTAATGATAACCTCTTCAAAACTTTGGTAATCATGATATACAAGACATGTCATTTGCATAAGGAGGAAATAAACATTTACAACCAATTTTTTTAAACAACAATTTCTGACAAGAGTCCCTGCTTGGCCTCAAAGTCCCTCCACCAATTTTCCATTTCTGGGACCCTGAGCCATGTTCCTTGGACTCCTGGAATACAAACACCTCCAGCAGCACCACTACCCTTGTCCACGAAGGCAGCAGCGGTTTCTGCAGCTGATGCTGAAAGAGACGCCACGTGACAGCCCCTCAGATTCGTTCAGAGCTGTATTTGCTGCCAGGGCCCCCAGGTTTGCCATCAGACATTTCTCTGCTTAGCCACTCTCCACAGAACCCTGGACAAGGGGGCTCAGTGGGGTCAACCCAAGGGCTGAAGGGGAGCCAAGTCACACAGGTTGTAGTGTTATCTTCAAATTTGATATGCATATTCTTAATCCTTTTCCCCAGGACATCCAATGAAGCTATTGACTATTCAGTTATTAGCTGGAATGATCTATGTATGTCCACGAGGCCAGGGTTTGTTAGTTATGTCATTCAAGGCTTTAATAATATTACTGTTTTTTTTTTTCGGTTGATTTATTCTATACATCACTAAAAGCAGCATATTAAAATCTCTGCCTATGTTGGGGGTTTTTTTCCATTTCTTCTCTGCCAATTTTGCTTCACATATTTTAAGGTCTTATTATTTATTGGGTGTATTCCAATTCAGAATATTTAGAATTTTTCATCTTCTTGGTGTGTTGAATTTTGTATCATTGTATCATTTCATTGTATCATGAAATGAATCTCTTTATTCCTAGTAAAACTTTTCAAAAAAATCAATTTTATTGGGGTATATTTTATATACAAAATGCATTCATTTTAAGTGGCTCTACACACACACACACACACACACACACACACACACTTATGTAACTACCATCACGGGCCTTTCTTTACAGCACTGTTTGTTTTTTAGTTAAATGTACTGAAGTATAATTTACATTCAGTAAAATTCACTTTCCATGAGTTGTGATAAATGTATACAGTTGTATAACCATCACCACAAGCAAGATAGAGAATACCTCCAGCAAAATGTTCCCTCATGCCCCTTTGCTGGGGTGGCCAGATTTAGCTGAGCAACCTGTATTTTATCTGGCAACCCTAAGACAATTCCTCTTCCCACAACCCATTCCCTGGTGGCCTCTGATTTGTCTCTACACTATTGTCTTTTCATGAGCATCATATAAATGAAATTATACTGTACAAAGCCTGTCTGCTTTCTTTCTCTTAGCATAGCGCTTTTGTGACTCATCAGTGTTGGTGAATGTACCAGTAACTCATGCTTTTCTACGGCCGAGTAGCAGTCCGTCGTATAGATACACCACAATTTGTATTCCATCCACTCACCGATTCATTTGTGTGTTTCCAGCCTTTGGCAACTATGAACAAAGTTGCTATAGACATTTTCACACGGGCCTTTGTGTGGACTGGTGTTCAATTCCCTGGGGCAAATACCTAGCAGCGGGATTGCTGGGTGGTACAGCTGGCGTGTGTATGTTTAATTTTATAAGAGACGGCCAAACTGCCAAAGCAGCTGTACCATTTTGCATTCCCATCAGCAATGTGTAAGAGTTCAGGCTTCTCTGGTTCTTTGCAGATACTTGGTATTTCTGTTCGGGGCCTGGAAGGAGGACACGGGGGTCCCCAGGGTGCTGGTATGCCCTTGCTTGTCTGAGTGCTGATTACACAGGGGGGTTCTGTTGCTGAAAATTCATCAAGCTACAAACTTATATGTACACTTCTCTTTATGTATACTAATTCCTCAATAAAAAGGGTTTTAAACCATACCAAAAAACCTTTGAATAATTCCACTAAATTAACTAAAAATGTGTTGAAATGAAGAACATACTTTTTAAAAAACTGAAAAACCTCTGTGTAAATCCATAGCAGCCTGCTTTCATAATCTCTTAAGAATTTTTTCCCAACTATTCATAGCAAATATCTGAAAGGCAAATTAATATTTCTGAGCGTTACAAGTGACAGGTCAGGAGGATCAACCCAATAATGCATATATAATTATATGCCTGTCCTCATCAATTATCCATTTTTATTCTAAAGATTCTCTAATTTTAATGTCCTTAGTTTTGTGTTCAGAGTGGAAAGATGAATCTTCGATTAATAAAGACCAGAAAAGGTAGAGCGCGAGGGAAGTACTGGTCTCGTTTTCTTCCCTGGGTTCAGTACTCACTACGTCGGCGTTCACGGAGACTTTGTTAAACAAAACTACCTACCAGGAGTCATGGGAATCGACTGTAGGATGAACTGAGGAACAGAGTTCATCCTTTGTGTCTAAGCCTCTTGCCTGCTGTCACTCAGCTCAAAAGTGAAGGAGCCAGGATTTGAAGCCTGGCGGTGTTCCTCCTGAGCTCTAACTTCCACGCGTGGCACCTAGCATGGCCTTACATTCAAATAACATTGTAACTCGACAACTAAGAGGCCCAAGCTGAGTTTGTTATTTAGTTCCTTCTGCATAGGAAGCATGAGAGGATCTGTGCCCTGAGACATAGCTTGAGGATTTAAGCGGATCCTCCTCTGTCTTCAGTTCATCCACTGCCATCAGAGCAGCTCACCTGGCCTGCTTTACTCTTCACAACATTCTGCAGAGAAGCAGCTACGTAGTTCCCAGAGCTGTGCTCAATGGACGTCAGGTGTCACATGACCCCCATCCACCACAGGTTGCTAGATTCCCCTAGGAGAGAATGAGTTTCCCTGTATTCTGGATCATCTCAGCAAGATATCTCCACTGTTGTCCAAAACCCATTTTCCAGCAACACCCTAGACTGGGGGTTTGCAAGCATTTTCTGTAAAGGACCAGGCAGTAAATATTTTAAGTTTTGTGAGCCATACAGTCTCTGCTCCAACTATTCGACTCTGCCCTCGCAATGCAAAAGTAGCCAGATAATATCTAACAAAGAGGCGTAACTGCATTCCAATAAAACTTCATTACAAAAGCAGATAGAGGGACAGCAAACACCTCCTATGAGCTCCTTGAGAAGGAGAGCTATGTCTTATCTTTGTAATTTCAGCCCAAGCAGCAAAAACTGTCCTGATTTTACCAAAGAGGAAATAAAAACACAGGATCACATAAAGTGATTTTGGGGAGGGCAAGCACAGAATTAAAACTGGCCGTTTGAGGGGAGGCTATAGCTCAGTGATAGAACGCGTGCTTAGCATGTGCGAGGTCCTGGGTTCAATTCCCAGTACCTCCATTAAAAAAAAAAACTAAACCTAATTATGTCCCCCCAAAACAAAACAAGTTTAAAAAATTGGCTTTTGGGGTGTATTTTCACTTGTGAATTGAACACAGATACTGCACTTCTCATGCTAGACCTGAGCTAGTTGGGGAAGTTAAAGCAAACACAAAAGGATCTTGTCTTCACAAACCCTTCCAATCTGCCTGTCTCAGCAAATCTGTCTTTGCACGGTAAGTTTTACACAACGTGAAACCACGAGATTGAACTGGATGGTGACATTCAGGTGCTCCCAGAGCTCAGAGCTAGCGAGCTGATCCTGTCTTTGCCCACCCTCAGTTTTCTGTGTCTGGTTTAGTTTCCTAGCCCAGGGCCCCAAGTCAGGTTATAAAACTGAAACTAAAGCCTTCTGGCTTATTCCCATGGAGATCGTCTTTCACATACAGGCTTTGGTTTGGACTTGGGGGGACTTCAGGGCTTACACAGATTAGGATACAGTCACAAAACCAGTAACTTACAAAGTCTATTTCTAACGAAGGTCAAGTCCCACACGCTTTCCTCTGCACTCCGTTTTGCCCCACTGTATAATTACAAAACGTTTTATGAATCTCAGTTTCAGTGTCTGTAAGACGGGGGCGAAGCGCCTCGCAGTACTACTGCAGTGAAACTACAGGTAAATCACTGAACCAAGCACAGGGCTTGGCCCGTAGTAAGCGCTCAAAACACGCTGGCTGCCACCCTGACTATTGCTTCCTCCCAGGATCCCCCCAGGTCCGGCCCCCAGGGGCTCGGTAAAGTCTGAGGGAGAAGGGCGAGTAGGTGGCAGAGTCGGGGTAGGTCTCAGCTCACCCTGCCCCAGCCGCGGAACCTGGGTCGCTACAGGCGGTGCACACAGCCCGACAGTCGAACCACAGGAAC